TGCTAAACCGGATTCAATATATCTAAAAACTTTGAGCGTTTTATCAATGCCATGCTCCTATCTAAAAACTTTAAGTGTTGTATCAATGCGATGCTCCTATCTAAAAACTTTAAGTGTTATATCAATGCGATGCTCCTATCTAAAAACTTTGAGCGTTGTATCAATGCCATGCTCCTATCTAAAAACTTTAAGTGTTATATCAATGCCATGCTCCTATCTAAAAACTTTAAGTGTTGTATCAATGCCATGCTCCTATCTAAAAACTTTAAGTGTTATATCAATGCCATGCTCCTATCTAAAAACTTTAAGTGTTGTATCAATGCCATGCTCCTATCTAAAAACTTTAAGTGTTGTATCAATGCCATGCTCCTATCTAAAAACTTTAAGTGTTATATCAATGCCATGCTCCTATCTAAAAACTTTGAGCGTTGTATCAATGCCATGCTCCTATCTAAAAACTTTAAGTGTTGTATCAATGCCATGCTCTGATTTAAAAACTTTGAGCGTTATATCAATGCCATGCTCCTATCTAAAAACTTTAAGTGTTGTATCAATGCCATGTGACTATCTAAAAACTTTAAGTGTTGTATCAATGCGATGCTCCTATCTAAAACTTTAAGTGTTGTATCAATGCCATGCTCCTATCTAAAAACTTTGAGCGTTGTATCAATGCCATGCTCCTATCTAAAACTTTGAGCGTTATATCAATGCCTTGCCCCAATCTAAAAACTTTGAGCGTTGTATCAATGCCCGGCCACGTTCTAAAAACAAAGTTGTTGGTGGTATCACACAGTCTGATTTCTCTTGAAGTACCCTTTAATCTTCCCAAGAACACTTTCTCCGTCTGCCGTTTTTTCCTTGTTTTAATACTACCGTTGCGTATCTACATCACAACCCAGGTAAGTAAATATTGCTACTGGTTTGTTGCATGTGGACTAAGGCAACTACACGCTGGAGGTGGCGGCTTTGAGAGATCCCAATGCTACTGAAATTTACCTAGCTGAAATTAGAATGGATTTAGACAATGTTTTTTTTTTTTACCCTGTAGAGAGCTGTTCTTGTCGCATGTACAGAGCTATAGATGTATTCGATGTCTTGTGTAAATAACATCGCTGGCCAATATCTAGAGCGGGTGTGCTAGATGTTGGTTCTATTTATCGAGATTTGATTGCTTAAAACTATATACACGGACTTGTAGTGGATATAGACATTGGTTATACACAGTAGAGAGCTGTTCTTGTCGCGTTGGTTAGAGCTGTAGATATATTCATTGACTTGTGTGATTGAGTTCCATGGTCAATATTTAGAACAAATGTCGGTTCTACTTTTCATGTCTTAATTCACCGTTCGCGCGTAATTTTGTTTTATGGCGACCATGCTTTAACTATCACGCATTGTGGCGTTGTCGATACTATTTGATAGGGATACCGGAGGCATAGTGATCTAGAGTTCGTTAAATTGGGGGGGGGGGGGGGGTTGTTGCGTTGTCGATACCAGATGCTGAGAATGATCGAAAAACTAAAGACTGTAGGGATGTCTTGGTGAGACAAAATACAAGGGCGGGGACTGGACAAAGTGGAAGATAATGGTTGGGGCTGTATGCTGCACCAGGAGTAAAGAGGACTAAGTAGTGTAAGACAGTTGTGGGGGATATGCCGGTAAAGTAAGTGTTGGTTATTTGGGTCAGTGTGTGCAACATACTCTTGAGTCGTGTCGGCCCATGTAAAAACACAAGCAGCCATTCAACGGTGGACTATGAACCAGGATGAAACTAGCCTTCAGGTCAAACGTATCTGCTGCTGTTAATATAGTAACTGTTAGCCGAGATAATTAAAATTGTAAATAATTATCGTATGCGATTTTAGTGTAGTGTTTCTTAACAAACACTATGCCGTCCATTTTATTTAATAATTAATTTACAAATTTAATTTTTTTTTTTTTAAGTCCAGCATGTCCTAATAAATTTTTTTAACGACCCAGTTTTTTTTTAAAAACCACCAACCTCTACCTGCCTTTTTTTTTTACCAACCGCCCCTCCCCTTGCTCAGACGCAATCTAACTTGAAAGAGGGGGATCACGAAGACACGTCGAAACTGCATCGAGCCTCTGTTGGGATTGGTAAAGGTATTTTAGCGCTGGAGTGCAAATACTCGTACTTTTTGCAATTAACGACACTGGAGGGAGGGGGAAAGAGGTGGAAAAAATTTTTAAATAGTAAAATAATGAAGAGAAAAATGAAAGGAGAGTGAATAGAAAAGCAAAGAGTGAATAACAAAAAAAGGGAAGTGGAATACCGAGAATGTATATATAGAGCGATTGGACAGCTTTCATAAACACTGCCGTGTTGCTTTTGTTTTGTTAGTGCAGTAGATGTGGATGTTGATTTATAAACATTGATCAGCACGAGACGGGGGCCATTTTGTTTTCAGACACATCGTAAATTTGTTGCTTACGCAACATCATTTGTGTTGATATCTTCATCTATGTGCGTTAAAACAAGAGGCTCATATATATATATATATATATATATATATATATATATATATATATATATATATATATATATATATATATATATATATATATATATATATATATATATATATATATAATATGCAGGCCTATATGACATTTCTTAAATATAGACCTAACAGCTGTAGCTGTTTATGTCGTGTGCGTAAGGCTTAACATAAACAAGTGCCAAGTTCACTAAGGGGTCACAACTCTGAATGACTAGGTAGGCCTAACAGGATAGGTAATTGCTAGACCTACAATTGTGCTCCGGGTCACACTACTAGTTCATTTGTTTACAATCACGTTTAAGGCGAAACTTTGGATGTGGATTCACGTTAAGGTTGGTGTTAGCTGTTGATTACACCAGGAATGGGGGTGCCTTTGACCCCCAACATTAAAATATACCTGTGCGTGGGTGTTGCTGAGCAGCCAGCCACAAATTAGGCTGAGCGGTGAGTTTGGAATTCTTTTTAAATCGAGTTTTGAAAGATGGATGTTTTACTTTTAATGTTTCATTTTCTTGGAATTTTGTGTGTGGGATAGTTATATTGGCCTTTTTCTATAAAAAGAGGTATTAGGAGTCCCTATCTGTAGTTTTTTTTAAGCATCTAGCCTAGACAGTATAGGGTAGTGAGACAGTGTGAGTGTAGAGTAGTTCTGTGCAGTTTAACTTGGTGAAAATAAAGAAACATTAGTTATCCATTTTTTGTTATTTAGTATTTAGATAGCAATTCTCATTCAACATTTACTTTAATATTTTAGGATTTCATTTGATCCCAACAATTATTTTAGATATAAAATATTGCTAAAGATTGCAGTTAGATTAAATTCTAATTTGACACTTATTTAGTTCCACTTTCACAACTCTCATTTTATAAATATTTATTTTGATGTTCTATGGCAGGGGTCTCCAAACTTCGGGGGCCAGAGTTTCTTCAAGACATCTCTTCGGGGTGGCATCCCCCCCCCCCACGAAGAACGTGTGTACCGTTCCCCCCCCCTAACGAAATATAATTTATATAGAAATATATACAAATTTCAAGTGTCCCCCCCTCCCCCCTGGAGGAAAAAGTCTGAAAGAAACACTGTTGGTGGCCAAAATCACACTCGAGGTCCAAGTTTGCTCTCAAATTGTTCTTCACGTATTTCAATCTTGAAAATATTTGTTCACACAGGTATCTTGTTTTAAAATTTGAAAGGTACTTTGATGCAAAAGTTTTAATATTAGGAAAATCTTCCTTTTGCAAAAACTTATAAAAACCCACCCACCCTTCTTTGAACGTGTCTCTAATGACCTCCAGCTGCTGTTCATCTTTACTTTCATTTCATCACCAGTACCCTTAAAACTGAGGACTGAGTATTGGGATCTTCTTCTCCATTTTTAGCTGTAGTATCAGAGGGTTTTTCTCTAACAAGACTATCTTCAGTACTTCCATTGCCTTAGTTGAACCAATAGTCAATAGCACCTGCAGTTTTTTAGTTTGGGAGTTTTTTCTCAGAGATGGGTTGGATGTCCCCTGGCCCAGCTAACCTCATATGCCCATGATCCAATGTTGGGACTTTTGTGTTATCAATCATGCTCTCCCAACCACCATGATGATACCACTGTGTTGTAAGGTTTTATCACCAGTACCCTCAAAACAGAAGTGGCAGTAATGGGATGGCAAGGCATACATTAACACACACTTAAAAGATGTAAAATAATTGCTGTAATGTAGCTATAAGCTTAGAATTAATGAACAAGTGTGTGATAATGCTGATTTAATAGTGGAAAAGTTATAATTAAACCTCCGGTGTAACATCTGATGATCTATCTGATAGACATAAAAGAGTTGTTTTGTTTCATTATCCCTGTCTATAGAATAAATTTATATTTTGTTGTCCATAAACTGTGTATTCACCTACACCAGTAATAGCCTAGCATTGCCAGGTATCTATCAGAGCTTGAAGGCCTCAGGGAAGTACTACATACCAGTTTATAATCAAGAATCATTAAACTTTGAAGTTAGCTCTCATGTGCACATTAAACTAGTGCGCATGCAATTAAAGTTGGCTTTTTGAAGTTATAAATACCTTTTTTAGGATCTAATTTTTTTATAACAAAATGTTTATTTTCACTAAAAACAAACATGTTTGTGATCTCAATAGGTGACTTTTTTTTACGCCTGGAGAGAGATGGTAGACTAGGAATTATTTGGGGGAATATAAAAAGTGTGATTTCACATATTTTGTATTTGTTTAAAAAAAATGTAATGAAAAACATTTTTGTTGAAGCTATGGCTTTTTATTGGGGGAGGGGGCGGGGGAAGTTTACCTTGCCATTACAATAGTGGGGGGGGGGGGGGGGGGGAGAATCTGGCATTTTGTAAAGAAGTAATATTTTGCTTCTGTTGTTTTCATTCTTAACATTTTTTTCTCTAGTTTTTTTTTTATCTTTTGTAACCCCCAACATTGAAATAATTACTATCTGTTTTTTTTTTCCTCAGAATATAATTGTATGGACACAACTACAATGAACCTCCCTTGATAAGAATGGTCTTGCATCTAGCTGTGGCTGATCACAGAGTGCTTATTCCCCCAGCGTCAGTATGGTCAGTCATCAGACATGATTGCCATGGTCCACGCGTGGCCTGCTGAGTTGTTCCGCAAATATCGGAATGGCTTGTCATGACATCAGGCCGTCACATGTAGGTTTAACGTGCATGCTATTGTTTAAAACATGCTGAAAGAACAAACTTTTCAGCGGACGAAACCTGTGAGTTTAAATCGTAGTTAGATAATTGAGGTAGAAGCTTGTCCTAATCTTTAAAATCTAAAACACAACTAGAATGTATCTGGGGCAACTTATTTCTGTTGAGCTTAATTGATTCTTCAAGAAGCCTTTAAAACAAATGTTCACTGTGTTGTATTTTCCCCATTTTTTTCATAGTACAAAGTTCCATAATGTAAAAAGCAGATTTATTTATAGAGCAGGGGGTGGGGGTGGGGTTGCTGACAGTTGAGTTGTGTTGTATGCTATTTAATATGAGCTCATCTGATAGTTCAAGAAGCCATGTTAAAATAAATGTGCTGTGTGTTTAGTTCCCCCTTTTTTTCATAGTACATAGTTCCATAATGTAAACAAGAAATTTATTTATAGAGCAGGGGGTGGTTGCTGACATTATTTGCTATTTAATACTAACTATAGCATTGAGAAAAAACACTGTTCCTTTTCTTTAACATTTTAAGAGTTTATTTAGATTTTATGTTGCTTTTCTTGGAAAGTTAGTTGCAAATTATCTCTATGGGGGCTAAAACTAAAATTGCCAAAATAAGAATAAGTGTACCTTAGTAAACAGAAAGAAATTTTTCAATATATTTTGTTGCAGGTACAGCTTATACGACGCCTCAGTATGGACTCTTTTATGGTAAGAGTTTACACTGGGCCTCTGAGTGGGGAATTCGAGTATGTCTCTGTTGAGGCAGACAAAGGCACCACAGCGGAAGATGTTGTTGCCATCGCATGCCGCAAGCTCCGCTTTGGTGGCGGCGACACCAAGAAGAAGTTTGAGCTGGCCGAGGTGTTCTCCTCCGGCGGCCAACTTTGTAAGGAGCGGCGCCTTGATTCTACAGAAAACCCTGTGGCCTTGCAGCTGCTGTGGCCGAAATCAAGTGATATTGAAACGGGAGTGAAGTTATTCGATGGATATAGATTTTATCTCCGTAAACGTGATCCGGAATTGTCGCCTGGAGGGTGGGTGGTGCGAGATCAAAGTGCTGTGGATTCATTCCTTCTGGCATTCCTCACTCAGCCTCTGGCTGGGAAAGAGTTTCCCGACCTCTGCAGCCTGCCTGATCTGAATGAAAAAACCCTTCTTCACAACCTGAAATCCAGGTTCAACCAGAAAAACATCTACACGTACGTGGGTTCCATTCTCATAGCCGTGAACCCTTTTAAGTTTTTCCCTATATACAACCCCAAATACGTCAGCATGTATCAGAACAAGCGCTTGGGGGAGCTACCACCCCACATCTTCGCTGTGGCTGATGCAGCGTATCATTCCATGTTGAGGCAGAAACAGAACCAGTGTATAGTTATATCGGGGGAGTCGGGGTCTGGCAAAACGGAAAGTACTAACTTGTTGCTGCATCATTTGACTGCTCTTTCACACAAAGGATTACACGGTAGTGGAGTAGAGCAGACTATCCTGGGAGCTGGTCCTGTTTTAGAGGTAAGTCTAAAATTTGTATAGACAAGAATGAGCAGGAAGTTGAATACATGAGTTCACAGGCTTGTTGACTATCATGAAATAAACAGTGTTTCTTTCAGGCATCCCTTTAGGAGGACATGCCCCCCTCCCCCCAAGCACATGTACTGCCTTATAAAGAAAATCTATACTTCTACTTATGTCCGTCCCCTTAGAAATTGAGTCGTCGTGCCCCCCCCCCCCCCCCAACATCACAGAAAAAGTCTGAAAGAAACACTGGAAATAAAATGCATAGTTTTTTTTGTAGAGAAGCAAATAAAGAAAAATAAAAGGCATAAAACAAGTTTTTTTTAAATTTTTAAATTAATATCAGTGTTTTTAGAACATGTAAAAGAGACATAAAAAGATATTTAAAATTGGTTTTTGATTTTGAGGTGCCACCATTTTTTTCTGATACAGTTTTTGTTATGAAAAATGGTGCACCAATGTGCTGTAGGCTTAGATAGTTTAAAAAGTTTGTTTCATTTAATAGTGTTATTATTACCATTACATCTTAAGAAACAAACCTTATGTTTAATATATACTTGTTTGTTTTGATGTTTTATCTATTAGACTCTTCTATTGATTAAAGCTGTAATCTGTTTATGTATTGGCCAGATCTTGATAACTACCTTGTTTTGTTTTTACACTCTAAAATATGTGGCTGCTTGTAAACAAAGCACCAGCTGATACAAAAGCTTCCTGAACTACTATCACTAGTTATCTCAGCCCAAGTATTCTATTTTAGAGATAGGGAAGTAAATTACTAGTCAGTGTTGTTCTTTGGAATGAATTTAAGTGTAAAAAATAATAGCAGTAAAATAACAGACCAGAATGAGTCTTCTTGCAAGAAAAACAAAATACTTGAGTTTGTTATGTTTATCAGAAAGGTTGTTTAGGGGCAGGGGGTGGGTGAGGGCTTAAACAGGAGTGCAGGATAATTTCAACCATGTTTTTTTTACCACATATTCATCAGATAGTTTAAGTAATTTTTTTTCTGTTTATCAAATATCCTAACTTGTGACTTAGTTTTATGTATAATCAGAATTTGTTTGTTTCAATGTGACATGATTTTCTAAAATAGTGATAATTTTGGTTGCATGTTGGTTAGCTATGGGAAAAATGTTATGTAAAACAAAAAATATTTACTTTGACCAGCCCAGCACCCTTATTTTTAGTTGGGCCAAGGTTTTTTTTTTTTTTACAAAAGATAACCAGGAAATATTCTCTAAGATTCTATACCCTGTGTTTAAAATTGTCCCATTATAATTTTAAGCTTTTTTTTTATCATACCTCCTGTTTATAACCCCTGTGGCCCACCTCACAAGTTTCCAACCCTTCTGTACAGGCTTTTGGGAATGCTAAAACAGTCCACAACAACAACTCTAGCAGATTCGGCAAGTTTATCCAAGTCAACTATAAACAGAATGGCATGGTTCATGGGTGAGCTTTTTGTTTATCTCTCTAAATATCCGAGCTGCTGCTCCGTGTTTACATCTTGCCCCACAGTTTTTACTTGCTGCCAGCTCGATACTCTTGTTTTTTGCAAGCTTGATACTCTTTATTGTTTTAAAATACACTTAGTAATATTTATTGTAAAAAATATCTGACACTATGGGTTTCATTGAGTGTTTCTTTACCGGTGTGTCATAGTATGAAAATAAAATTAAATCCACATTTGCTTACACATGTAAGTTAGTTCCTGTCTTAGTAGGTAAATGTGTAATACATGATACAATTTTATTATGGTCACTTGAGCCTTTTCTATGCAGTGGGGGAAATTATTTAGCTATTTTTATCTTGTAAACTTTAAAGAAAAGTATAACGTTTTTGCTGGTTTTCTATTAATGATATATTTGTGAGAGGAGGTGCTAGGCTGCTATGTCCTTCCCAACATCCATCCATAGCTGTACACAAATAATTAAAGAAGTTAAAAAATATAAAGAACAAACAAAATAACCTGTACTTAAAAAAAAACTACCACTAATAAGCAAAGATATGTTAACATTGATAGAAGTACATGTTTACCATATTTGTATGTGTGAGTTGGGGTTGGTGATGTGGGTCTAAACTTCTCAAACCACCCTCAATATCCAACAATCATTACAAGTCCTTAAATTTTAAATTACACACGAAATTTAAAATATCAAATTAAACACTTTTGGCACGTATCAATAGACTGGAAAAGTGGTTCCAAAAGTGGTTCCACTTTGTGTTGCCAGAAAGCATATTTTTGAACCAAAATTGAATATTTTATAACATTTGGTAAATAAGTACAAAGTCTCTTCCGGTTTTACTAAGGCTAAAAATATTTAAACACAAAATTACTAATAATATAATAGTAATTTACAAAACATTTTTATTTTAATTTGGATTAGTATAGTCAGGGTGTTGTGGTGCAAGGGGATATTATTATTTAGTATAAATAAACTACTAGGCTATATTAAATTGTTATAATAAGTAAAGCGTAATTAATATCAACATTTTAATATACACCTAATCAACCTAGATCGACCTCTGACTATGGGGTCATCTTTTAACGATGTCACAACGATGCCAGACCTCCCCCTTCCCCAAAAAAGTAAACCTAAGCCAACCAACCCCCCCCCCCCCCCATTGCAGCGATTTTCATAAAATATTTCGACCTATGGGCTTTTCCAACATTCAGTGGCGTAGCGAAGTCGGGTGTCACCCGGTGCGGCACTTAATAGTGTCACCCCCCCCCCCCCCCCCAGAGGCATAGAGAACCTTCCCAGGGACAAACTTTCAAATTTTCGATTTGCACCCCCCCCCTCAAACTTTCGATTTGCACCCCCCCCCCCTCAAACTTTCGATTTGCACCCCCCCCCCCCCCTCAAGTTTTCGATTTGCACCCCCCCCCTCAAACTTTCGATTTGCACCCCCCCCCCCTTGAGTTTTTCACTATATATTTTGCTATTTTTTGCCTTGGTGTCACCCCCCCCCTAAATGGTGTCACCCGGTGCGGTCCGCACCCCCCTCGCCTTTTGATGAATTATTTTATAACATTTTATAAAACGACTTTTAATGATGCAAATAAAGGTTTAAATTCAGTTTCTTAAAATGAGTGTTTGTTGAACATTGAAAAGTGTCATCTTACTTTCTGAACCCCCTCCCGCCCTTGACACAAAGGTCCAAATCTCCCCTACCTCAAAGTCTGATGGACGACCACTACAGCATTTTGCTATTATTTATAGGATATTCATTAATTAGTCATACAAACCTAATTACATTTGTTGTTGTGATGATATCTGTCATTACAATTATTAAATAATTTATTTTAACTCAATATTTCCCCTAACCTCATTTGCTATAGCTGCCTATCCTTATAGAAAATATCTTTTCCTCAAATATCTGGAATGCATCTGATCAGCAACAGTCTTTTTCTTTTGTTATATATAAACAATTACAACATGTTCATAAACTTGCATGGCCAATAACAACACATTACCAGGAAACAGGCAGTGATTATAGTATTTGTGGTTGATGGTGAGTTATCAGCAATGCTTCACTAAGCCTGGTCTACATTTATATGCTGGTATGGCTAGAATTGACAAAAACCCATATTATTGATTCTTCCCTTATCATTATGTTTAACATCTATGATAGATATATGCAAATGTAAGACTTTGGGACTACATATTTGTTAACACATTTGCTAAAGCAAAAGTTCTTGAGTTGAAATTTCAATCCTTTAGGTTGTCTCTGATTCAAATTGAAAGCAGCTTTAACTGGTACCGGACTGGTTATGGACAGTAAAAGCTGTTTGACATTTTGCTGACCATACAATTTATTAACATGGAGAAACTAGGTGAAATCTACTTCAGCACCATATTTTTAAAAACTATTTACAGTTCACCAGTTTAAGTTTATTGAATTAAGGTAGCAATAATTAGTTTCCGCATACACCAGCACACACAAGCAGTGCTAAAAAAAAATAAACATAACAAAGTTCATAATTTTCTTTTTTTAATTACCATATTCATTTAGAACTAAAATAAAAAAATAGTTGTTCAATATGAACAAGTTTTCTTGGGTCCAACATGTATCCTTGGATCAGTTTTTAAATTGAACTTCATCTTGACTTTTATCTTCTCTGTATGCAGTTGTATGATCCACAGTATCTAAAAAAACATAAATAAATTTCATAAACTGTTATATTAAACTCATTATGTTTACATACTTTCAACTCTTAATGTTATAAATAAAAATATTTGTCTTATAAAGATCTTAAAGCAATGATGTGTATTTATGTATTGGATTGTATGGGCTATCTAACCATTACCATTCATTAAAATATAGGTATAATAGTTTACTTTTAATACTTTAATGTAAGGAGTTTGTCATTAAATACAATAGCCCCCAAAAGAGTCCAAAAGTCATGTATATATCATTAAAAAAAAAAGAAAAAGGAATTAGTTGAAAATTGATATTCAAACTAGGCTACTATAACTATCATTAATTCATGCACATACTAGAATAAATATTAGGATAATTATATTAATTTGATTAGTAAGTTAATCCATCTATGACAATTGACACCTTTTGGCTTTATCAACTATTCTGCATTTTAAGTTCTAAAGAAAACTACATAAGACTAAGTCATATATTAAGTTGATTAAGTAGAACTAAAATAAGACAGCTCTTTACTAGTACTAGTAAGCCTAATCTTCTATTTTATAATTTTTACTATTATTATAAGAGGCCTAAAATTACTGGTAGACTACAAATCTAGATTAAATTTAAATTTTGGATATTATTTAATGTACTAGTCTGTAACCTTTTATTTAGGCTACATGTAATTTTTACAATTTAAAATTGTAGCCTTATTAAGCCTAGTTATATTTGTTTAACTTACATACTAATACTAACTACCTACGCTATCACAGGCCTACTAGACTACTACTAAGCTACTACATCTAAATCTACAGTCTAGATAGGCCTACTGAAACTAAAAGTAATATGACAACTGTAAAAATTAAGAATTCTTTATTTTTTTTACAATACTATTTTAAGCCTATAGATAGACCTACTGCTATTAAATATGAATCTATTAGTTATTAGACTAATATAAGTCATCATAAGTCTAATTAGTAATTACCTCTAACTAGGCCCTAATCATAATAACAATGTAATTGAAGTATTAGGACTGTCATCTGTACCATAGCCTAAATTATCTTAAATAAAATGTATTTTGTACAGATCTAAATCTAGTAATTTAGTAAGTATTAAATATTAAAATTAAATTAATATAGAAAATATTGGCCGACTAAATAATTGATTCACTAATGTCATGATTTTGCAATTATGAGGTTGTGTGTATTATAATATATCCAGGAACTGTATAGAGTAACTATACTTACTAATACTACTACAATAGTAAATATATTTTAACAAGTAGGCTCTAACTAATTAGACTAATCATTTATTAGACTAGGTGTATGTACTATGTAGTGCCCTACTAACTAATTACTAACTAGTAACTAAGGACTAAGATTAACTATTTACTATAATATATATGACTAGTCTCTAAAACTAGTCTATACCAGCTACACATTTATAATATAATATAAACTATGGGCCTAATTTATTTAACTTAGGCCCTATCTATTATTACTATTAACTTAAAATACTTCAATATACTATTTTTTTAAAATTATTTAATATAGATTTTTATAAAATATATAACTTCTAGATCTAGAATCTAGACTAGACTAGAGTAGATCTCTACAACTTGACTTGTACTTAATACTAATTCTAATATATCTACTGTCATACAATATATTTATATATTATATAAAGTTACTTAACAAACTATAAATAAGTCGTATAAGATCTATAGATCTAGTCTAGATCTAGATCTCTAGTTAGTATTAGATATTATAGATCTAGATCTAGATCTAGTACTAGTTTAGTAGTAGTATTTAAATATTTATAGAGTCTAGAATCTAGATCTAGATCTATTTTAGTATTTATTTGACTTATTTATTTATACTAGATCTAGATCTAGATTAGATTAGATCTAGATCTAGAAAATCTAGATCTAGTCTAGTACTAGATCTAGACTCTAGATCTAGATCTAGTACTAGATCTAGATTCTCGCCGATATAAATCTAGATTCTAGATCTACCTACTATCTAGTCTAGTCTAGCTAGAGTCTAGACTAGATAATCTAGATCTAGATCTAGATTCTCGATATAAAAATTATAAATTAAAATCAATTTAAATCTATCGAGTCTAGATAATCTAGATCTAGATTTTATTAGATCTAGACTCTAGATCTAGATACTTATAGACACTTAATAATAATTCTATCTAGATCTAGAGATCTAGATCTAGATTCTAGATCTAGAATCTAGTCTAGATCTAGATCTCAGCTTAGACTAGTAGAGCACTCAGTGTGGTGAACTGTACTGTAGTGAGTGTGTGTAGTCACAGGCCTAACAAAAATAATGAAACGTGTGTTAAAAACATTCTACAAAAACATTAGTAACAATTAATAAGAATAATGTTAGATATTAGTAATCTGAGCATAACAGTCATAAAAAAATAAGCCAACTATAATGAAAAGGGATACAAACGAATTTTAAAAGCCTGAATCGAACTGAAAATATTCCCTTGTTCGCCATTTTGTTTTCTTGGAACACCTTGTCAGTATTTATCGTGGAAAATAAATGTTATGGCTTCCATCGTTTTACTCTCCCTGGCCAGTTCAGTTCAGTTCAAGGTGGGGTTGAGGGCGGTTTTATTAAATATTTAAATTTATACAATAATTCAAAATCATTTTCAACGGCTTATGTTAAACAAAAAAATATGAAAATGAGTGTAATCGATGGTTCCTAATCTACTTTAATTTTTAAAATTGTAGCTATAATTTTATCGCTTGCCATGTTTTTTAAAATAATTTTTTAAAAATTTAGTATGATTATATAGACTTTTCCAGTCTATTGTAATTCATTTCTCAGTCACTTAAAAACTGCAATTGTTCGCTCAAAAAGCCAAGGGCATCTTTCCTCTACCATCTAGAGATGTTTCAGAGGTTGTAAACTAAACTAACGACCTCTGTATCTGTTTTTATTAGACGCGTTTGTCTGTTGTGAATTTTTTAAAACCCTTATTTTTCCTATCCGCCTTCCTGATATTAAAACGATAGGGCTGCGCTCCAATTGCTGTCTTCAACAGATTTTAAGATAGTGCAGAAAATACACTCGAGTCTATTAAACTTCCCTATGTGTGTTAAGCGTGTCATCTGTACAATGGCAGCATTGAATTTATGTCTAGAGTGTATAGTAGTGTAGTGTATAGTAGTGTAGTGTATAGTAGTAGATAGAGCAGGCCTTCCGCTGCGTTAGTCGTGGTACGTTAGTTTTTTTTTACATAGGTTAAAAAAAAAAACACCTGTTGAAAGTTTTGTGGCCCGTGACGAAAAGATTTCTACGTCACGCATTAAGACTTATAGATTGTTGAAAACGATGTATGTGATGTTGAAGGGTAAGAATGTAAGTTGAAATAAGACTATCGATAGTACCCAGATAAATTAGGCCAGTGTGTTGTTTACTAAGGATGCATGTTATTTGTTGTACTTTTTACAATCTTTTCCGTGCTCAAAAGAAACGGCCATTAGAAGACGATAGTTAGAATCGGCATGGAACCTAACATCTCACCTTAACCCAAAGATACCAAGGTCCTTTATTCCAACACCTTCTCTCAACCCAAACCAAAATACTTAACCCAAAGATACCAAGGTCCTTTATTCCAACACTTACCTCCTCTCAACCCTAACCAAAATGCTTAACTCAAAGATACCAAGGTCCCCATGTCTAACACCTAACCTCCCGTTAATCCAACTCTTTAACCTTCTCTGAACCCTAACCAAAATACTTACCACAAAGATAGAAAGGTCCCCATGTCTAACACCTAACCTCCCGTTAAACGAACTCTCTACTAACCTTCTCTCAGCCCAAACCAAAATATTGAACCCAAAGATAGAAAGGTCCCTATGTCTAACACTTAACCTCCCGTGAAACGAACTCTCTAATCTTCTTCCAACTCAAACCATAATCCTTAAGTTGTGGAGTAGGTTTCAAGCTTTACATGACATTACCATGTCATTATTATTGTAAAACAATGACGTTTAAATCCGATGCGCATATGCACGATATGTCTCATAGTGTACCCACTGCATGCCTCTGAATGTCAACAGCGCAATGCTCCTAATGGTACCGACGTTGTTGTCCCGAGTGGAAGGAGCGTCCGGTGACTGTGTTTGTGTGTCCCCGTTGTTTGATAACATTCCCTGTTGCCTCCCCCCGGTGAGCTGTGTAACTTCCAACATGAGATCAAACAGGGCTTCCCGCGACTCTACCGCTGGTTAGCAGCCGATGGCTTCATATTTCCTCCCCCTCCCCCTTTTTTTAAAAACCTGATCGATTCAACAAGGCATTCAGTGTGTGTGTGTGTAGGGGGGGGGGGATATTGGTTTAAAAAAAAAACCCACCTCGTATTTGGTTATGACGCTATGACTCAAATATAGAAGTCTGCTGTGTAATATCGCCCTGCCCAGCTCGCTCTTTATACCATGAACACACACTAAACACTCCAGTTCCTCAATACACGAAGATTCCGTTTTAAAAAGAAAGTTCCTGTTTCGTTATTTTAATACTAATAATAGCCATGACGTTCACACTTCCATATCCTCCCCCTTTCCCCAGTTCCACTGTTTGCTCAGCTGTTTTTTCCTCTCTCTTGATATCATAACAAAAAACGAGCTAGCCATTGTCCATTCCGTTTGAATGACCCAGGCTAGTTCGTGTTTTAAAAAAAAAAATGTTTTTTTAAACATTCTTTTGTGTTACCTTGTAAACAATTACCTGTCTTTTAAATCCCATCTTTTAAAATAATGCTATTAATTCTTAGCTTTTCAATGCTTGTGAAAGAAGTAACGACGAAATTAGCAACGTAAGACGAGATAATATTAATAAGTTTAAAAAAAAAATCTCTACTGGTACAAGATAGACCGCTATACTATCCTTGTCATTTTGACAGTTTTATATTGTTTCAGTGCGCCCGTTATTGTTTTTATCCTACCCTGGATCTCTTTTTCACGCGAGATAATAGGATCACGTGTGTGTTAGAATCGTGCCTAAGTGTGAATACAACAGATAGTGTGGTGCACAAGTGTTTTTTTTTAAAAAAATAAATATTATAAAGTAGCATGATGGGGGGGGTGGGGGGGGGGGGGGGGGGGGTGGGGGGGGGTGGTAGAGAAGTGGAGGGCTAGTGATTAAAGATAAATTTTAATCTCGACTGATAATTTTCTTTATTGTCCGCGAAGGCTGAAGCTGAGATTTCATGTGAGTGGGCTCAGTGCGAGACTAGAGAAGTGTTACACGACAAAAGGCCGACATCCAAAAGGAGTCGGCCTTTTGTCTTTTCGGCCATTAGTCCTTGTCGGCCATTAGTCCATGTCGGCCTTTTGTCCGTATCGGCCCTTTGGGCTATGTCCGCATCGCCAACAAACTGACCAGGGTCCACTGTATCTTGTTTTAACTGGCCCGACTCACCGACCCATAAGCACTGTGTCACCGTGACCTGGAATCTATTTTTGTATTTCTTAACGTCCATGCTTAAATAAAAGACATTTTTTTTTCATTTACGCTAGATATAAGGCTATTTAAAGGAGGTGTGGGGGGAGGGGGGGGGGGGGGGAGAGGCTTGAACGATCTACTAACTGATTGGCTGCTATAATGGAACTAATAATCCCCCCCCCCCCCCCCGTTAGCAACACAAGTCAGCACATTTGGTCTCCCCCTATCTGGCTCAAGTCTACTACCTGACCCATGGACCCCCTTCACCCGTTGTTCTGATATAGATAGTCGCATGTAATAAGCTTTAGCAACAATCCCTCGTGACAGATTGCTTTTGTTTGGTTAACCCTTTTAATCTGCCATTTTGTCTTTACCGTTAACCCTTTTAATCCGCCAGGTTGTCTAAACTGTAACCCTTTTAATCCGCCAGGTTGTCTAAACCGAAACATCGTATCAGATAGTGTGGCGAGTTAAAAAATAATTACACGAGATAATCTTTATTATTACACTAAATGCCGGTCCCTACATAAAGAATAATGGCAGAGCTTTTTTGAATTTGGAGATTTAAAACAATACTACCTGGAAATTTATTGACGTAATGACTTTGTTGTAAAGGATTCAACTAGATCTACATTTATAGTTATTTTATACACAAGTTTTTTTTCAATAGTTGAATAATGTATAGGAATTATGAAGTTTGAAAACTAGGAGATATCATTCGTTTGAAATAATGTTAACTTTAAAAGAGTATACACATTTTTTCCCTAGCGTACTTTCTTCAAATTTTCGTTATTCTCTTTCAGTTTAAAAAAAAAATCACAGGCACACATTTAATATATTTGACCTAAGGTCTTCATCAGAAGTATTCTGAATAACATAATTTTGTTGTTGTTGCAATTTTAAAATTGTAAATGGGCACGGGATTGGTGAATTTAGACAATTGTAGTTACTGAAAAGAATAAAAATAAATCTAACTAGAGGTAGAACGCTAGACTGCTCACTAAAAAGCATAGAGTTCAAATTCGGGTTCAAGTCTGTTATTATAACATCCCCGAGTCCACCCAGCTCTAATTGCTACCTAATGCACGTTAGGGAAAATGAAGGCGACTGGGGATAGTTCTGGCCAAACTATCCCTTCATTTTGCGAGGTCACATAAACAGGTGAGCTTTACTTCACTTGCACCATGGTTCGAAAAGGGAACTTCAACATCGTTTTCTTCTGGTTGTTTACTTAACGTACAGGACACACGAGCAAAAGTAACACGGTGTTAATAGACAAGCTTGATCAAGCTCAACTCTTTTGATTGGTTTAGAACTGTTGTGACTAATTAAACTAATTAAAAACAACCTGCTCTGTTTGCTTTGAATCATCGTCATGACCGTATAGGCCGGCGTAGAAGTCGAACGGGAAGTGGATGGGACTGACGCCCAAGAGGGATACAAACGTTGTGTGTGTGTGTTGGTGAGAGCTGGGCTCGACACGATACAACTTCATGATACAGTGTGTGTGTGTGTGTTGGTGAGAGATGGGCTCAACACGATATAACTTCAAGATACAGTGTTTGTGTGTTGGTGAGAGATGGGCTCAACACGATACAACTTCATGATACAGTGTGTGTGTGTGTGTTGGTGAGAGATGGGCTCAACACGATATAACTTCAAGATACAGTATGTCAGTGTGTCTAATCCTGGAGTGTTAGTCACAATGTTGATAACGTCGAGTTTAAGGTGGGTTGGGGAGGGGGGGGGGGGGGGTAATAGAGTTGATGGAGTTATCGTTGGTGGATGTGGGGTGGTGATGGTGTGTTGATGGTTAGGGTTGAGGAGGAAGTTATGGTGTTGATAAAGTTAAGATTCACATTTTTAAATGGTGTGAGTAACGAGAGTGTGTGATGGGAGGGTGTGTGTGGGTTGGGGGGGGGGGGGGGGGTTAGAGTAATGGTTTTAATAAAGCTTATGCTGATGTGTTTGTGAATGAGAGATCAATTAGACAGCTTTTTTCTTTACGATGATTAAAGGTTATTTTTTTTCCCGCTGCCTTCACACTGTCCCTTATTAAAGTTACGAAATCTTGTTTAACTTAGACCTAATAGATTTACTTCACCACCGGATTCACGATATTAATTACTTCCATTGAAACCGTTTTTTATTTTGTGTGTGGTGCTTAATGATAAGGATTGCCATACAATTCTATAGCAGATATTGCCTATAGTGAAAGATAAGCTCTTCTATGCAAGCCTAGTTGTGGGCTTGTGGCTAATAACAGAACTTATTTGGCTTAGTTTTCGAAGATAATCGCTGTATACTTTTTAACAATATAATTTTTGTAACACCACGTGGTTTTCAA